TGGTTCTGCAGGAGGAGCTGACCACAGCTCAGTCCAGACTGCACCAGCTCCAGGACCGCTGGACAGAACTACAGAATGTCCTGCAGGACACGCAGAGCCGGCTGAGGGACACGGAGGCAGAGAAGAAAGTCCTGCAGACAGGTTCGCACTTCCTGCTGCCAAACGTTCAGCTCATGCAGGAGATGGCTGCTGTTTTCAACATTTCACATTATTTACTTTATTTTTATTTACTTTTAGCTAAACCTGTGCTTATTTTAGCTTGCATTCAGATATTTTTAGCTTTTAACTAGCCTTTCCTGCTTTTAGCTTCTAGCTAGCCTTTTGCTAACTTTTTACCAGTTTTTTTTATTTTAGCTAGCGTTTTGGTACTTTCATTTCCACTCTGATTCTTATAGGTTTATTTACCTTTTGCCTACTTTAGCTAGCATTTTGGTGCTTTTAGTGTTTCCCTAGACATTTTCTACGTTTAGCTTCTAGATAAGATTTTGCTACTTTTACCTTTGAGCTAGTCTTTTGCTGTCTTTAGTTGGATTTTTCACTTTTAGCTAGAATTTTGCTACGTTTAGTTTTTTTCTGGTACTTAAAGATTTTAGTGAACAAACAAATTAAAACTATCTTGAGCGTTTCAGTATTTTAAACCTTTAACAGTCCTTTTGCTACTTTTAGGTATATTTTTGTTACCTTTCTTACTCTATCTGTAAACTTGGCTTAGTTGTGAACTTGTTAGCATGTGCTATGTCTAGCTAGCTGTGGTAGCCATCTTGGATTAGGTTGACTCCACCAGCCAGTGATCCCTTCATGTCCGTGCAGACTTGGAGGTGACCAAACGCCGGCTGCAGCAGAGCGAGCGTCTGCAGAACGAACTTTCCTCGCTTGCCCAACAGAGACTGCAAGAGATAGAAACCCTTCAGAGGTGAGCGTGGAAACTTTCATACAACACACAACTCCACATCACAAAAGGCTGGGGCGCTGTGTATGATGTAAATAAAAACAGAATGCAAGTAAACATATCGGCGGTTTAAACTAAGAAATTGTACATTAATAAAAAAAATTCAATTAAAAATACTTCATTAATCCCAGAGGTAAATTAAATGTTGTAACTCATCATCCTGGTTTCATTAAAGAGTTGTTCTAGATGCTGATGCTGTGGGCAGGAAGGATCTCTTGTCCTACAGCAGATCTGAAGAAGCCTCTGACTGAAGACACTCTGATGTTGTATGACAGTCTGATGTTGTGTGAAAGTCTGATGTTGTATGACACTCTGATGTTGTATGACAGTCTGATGTTGTATGACAGTCTGATGTTGT